CCAGAAAAGCAAGTTACTCAGACTAATTCACACATCATTGAGAGACCAATTAGAACCATTAGCAAGTTGTTAGCACTGACTTTAAGCTACCTGCTCAGATGTAGTCCCAACCATTCAGAAGGGGCTGTGTGGTGTCACTGAAATTAACCAGTATAAACATACCTGCGCATAAACAACCCTCAATCCACAAGTGTTTGTTGGGTGCTTTTCCTGCCTGTGCATTATGGTCCCTCCCCAAAGGCAGATTTAAATACACACACACACACACACACACACACACACACACACAAACTATCTAGTTTTATCTCAAACCACTAGCTACTGGTCTTGATGGTGGAGCTAACATAAAAGAGGTGGAAAGTCCCCAACAGCATCAGGTTGTAAAATTTCAGCAAAGGAGGAAGACTATGGCTGCATAAAAGTTCAGAGACTCCAAGGCTTGTGTTGCTCAGATAGACGTCCCTTTAGGACTTAGACTTGGGGCCTCCCCTTGAAGGATGAGAAAAATCGAAGCAAAAAAGTGGAGGAGATAGAAGAGAAAATATATTTCCAATAGAGAGTGGGCTCTGGCATCTGACTAGTGAGAAGCAATCTTGGCTTTACCACTTGGCCTTGCTCTCCTTACGTTACCCCTCTGTGTTCCCATTTCCACATCTGCATGGGAATGATGAGAACAGTAGTGTTTATCTGATTGCATTGTTGGCGAAGATGAAGTGAGTTACTGGACACACACATTACGAATCACATGATGCTGGGTTAATACACAGCTGACGATCAGGGCTGCATGGAGCAAATACAAAGAAAGCACATTTCAGAGTAGTAGTTATTTTAGGATCGCTTGTTTTTGAATAATCCTGACAAAGCTACATTTAACATTCAGAAAAATTAACCTGATTAGTACCTTTTAAAAACAAATCACGTAAAATGAATTCATGTCGATCAATCTGAGATATTCTAGGAGGTGGCTTTTGTACCATTTACTACTTTTTTTTCAATCTACCTGCATTTGCCTTGGGTTCCTTTTTATCATCAATAGGGAAGGGAACCTACCTGTCCTTGCTTGGGCTGCTCTAACAAAATACCACAGACTGGGTGACTTAAACTACTTACACCCAGCTGTCCTGCCTTCAGCTCAGGTCATGCATGATCCCAGGGTCCTGCGATTAAGTCCTGCATGGGTCTCCTTGCTCAGTGGGGAGCCTGCTTCTCCTGCCTCTGCCGGCCACTCTGCCTGTTTGTGCTCTCTCTCTCTCTCTCTCTGACAAACAAATAAAACTTTAAAAAAAAAAAACACACAAAAAGCTTTTAAAAAAGTAAATAAACTACAGATGTTTATTTCTCACAGTCCTGGAGGCTGAAGTATGAGATCAAGTTACCAGCACAGTCAAGTTCTTGGTGATGGCCCTTTTCCTGGCTTCCATTTCCAGACGGTTGTGTAGTGGGTGGGGTGGGGTAGGAAAGAGTTCTTTCTGTATTCTCTTCTTATTAAGGGTGCTAATCTCATCATGAGGACCCCACCCTTGTGACCTCATCTCCTAAAGTTCTACCTCCTTAATAGCATTGACACTGGGTTTAGGGCTTCCGCATAGGAATTCGGCAGGGGCGGGGGCAGGGGTGGGGTGGGGGGGATGGATACAAACAATCAACTTAAAAGAAAAAATAAGAAACAAAACATTCAAACTTATTTGTTATGAATGATCCTATGGTGCCAACTATTTTATAAGTTTAAGCTTTAGGAATAAAATTAATAATAAGAGTAGACTTAGGGGGTACCTGGGTGGCTCAGTGGGTTAAAGCCTCTGCCTTCGGCTTGGGTCATGATCCCAGGGTCATCGGATCGAGTCTCGCATCCGGCTCTCTGCTTGCCGGGGAGCCTGCTTCCTCCTCTCTCTCTGCCTGTCTCTCTGCCTACTTGTGATCTCTGTCTGTCAAATAAATAAATAAAATCTTAAAAAAAAAAAAAAAGAGTAAACTTTGAAGTTTAAAAACGCAAATTTTCTGAGCATAAAGGATATCATTTTTCTTTGAAAATCATGGAGCCGTTTGAAGATACGGAATTCAGAGATTCTGCTGGGGTGGGAAGGGCAAAGAGGTGATGGTTTTATTGCTTGTAACCAGAGGGGATAATCATGTTTTTCATTATTTTCATATATTTAGAGTTATCTTAATAATTATGAATAGCTAAAGAGATTATTCTCTGATAACATATCTAGTAGATTTAGCTAGTGCAGACCAGATTTGTATGGTTTGTGCTGGATCCCTGCCTCTCCAGCTCCTTAGTGCCCCTCCTGTCTATCCCTTCCCTTCCTCCTGTGGTCTTCTCTTCTGCAGTCCTTGACAAAGTCCCCATGGTCCAACTGTCTCTCCCATGACCATGTGCAAGAAAGTGTGTGCCTGTGTGTGTGTGCTTGTGTGAGAGAGAGAGTCTCCGTCCTTTGTGTCTTCCACATGTGGCAGGAAGGAGAGATGGAGGAGAGGTGTTCCTGGGATCCCAAGTGAAATGAAGAATGATTTTTTGTCATTAAAACAATGTTTATCAAAGCAGTTAATTTCTACAAAAATTACAGCACCAAGGAGGGTTTACCAAAAAGCTAAAAGGGGCTTAAGTTTCAAGACCCCTCATTTCACAAGAATGCTTCCAAGGGGTTTTTGTACTTTTGTCTTCCTTAACTGGAAGATTCGGCTCCCCAAATTGTGCTTCCAGCCCTAGAAAACCTGGATTGTTTCTGGTCAACACTATCGTTTAATTACAGATCCAGATCCCCTCCGTGGACTGTTTGCAGACCATGCTGAGAACCTCAGTACCATATATAACGTTACTTCTAAGTGTCTATTGAGAAACAAACACTTCCTTAACGACATACAACCTGTTCTCTGCCCTAGAAATTGTCTGGGTACTTAAGAAGTGTTTGCTGATGAAATAATAATGAAATAAATGAAGGGAAAAATGAATATACTTGAGTGTTTCTCAATATATTGAGTGTTTCTTGCTGAACGATAGGATTATAGTGATTTTTCCTTTCTTCATACTTGACCGAGTTTCCAAAATTTCTAAATTTTCTACAATGAACATGTATTCCTTTGAATAATTTAAAACTTGCTTTAAGAGCTCATAGGACAGATGCTGTACTTAATTTATACATGTATGACGCGCTTGCTTTGTGGCGTTCTGTTAGCTCTGAGGGGACCAAGTCAAAGGAGACCGACATTGCATTGCCCTCAACGATCTACAGTGTCAGTTCCCGTTCTGAGGCCTGAAGGGATAGAACTCAACACAGGTCAACATTTACACAGTCGGTCTATTCAGGGTGGTCTGTGTACATGAAGGAAGTGGGGTGGGGAGGGAGACAAAAGCTTGTTACTCTTAAGGATCCTTTTATATAGACAAACAGCACACACATCTTAGTCATCATAGATTTCTTTCATTTCAGCATAGGAGGCCTTAGGCATGGCCTAAAAACCCCAAAGAGGGGCTGACTACATTTGCATAAACCCAGCAGATGGATCCCTCCCCCAACTTTAAGAAGGAATGCAAAGATTAAAAAAAAAAAAAGTTTACCAAATTTGGGGTTAAACTATATATCTGAAATAACAGCTCACATTCAGTGAGCTCTTACCATGTGTCATTACACAAAGTGTTTTACACACATTGGCTCCTCATTTTATTTTCCTTTTACTTTCACAACAAGCCTAAGAGGTGGGAGCCAGTATCATCAATCCCATTTTACAGCTGAGGAAAGGAAGGCTGACAGAAATGAAACCGATTGCCTAGGGTCACAGAGATGGTGGCTGGCAGTGCCTGACTGGAATTCTAATTTGCCTCCTCTCCCAATTTAACCGTTCCTCTTCAGATTACAGAGAGCTCTGGTTCCAAGGAGAAAAATGAACTAGAATATGGGTAATTTAAAAAACAGAACACAAGTTGATTTTCACAAACAACGTGATACCACCCTTTTAAATTGAGAACGAAAAAGCACCGGAAAACCATTTTTCCCCCCCAAAGCCTGACTTCCCAGCCATGATGGGTGGTTATTAACTCATTTCATTACACTAAATTATGCATTTGCTTTTCAATTAAGTGTCTCATCATTGTCACGGCTCTGACGTGTCCTTTTCCATTCTCCAACTTCATCTTGGTGGAAAGTGAGACATGGTCGGTCTGTGTGTGATCCGCGAGACCCGGGGGGTTTATCTTTCGCCTCTATTGTTTTCTTGGGGGTCCCTCGCTCCGGAGGCCTGGCATTCCTCACGTGTCTGGGGCAATGCAGCAGCAGCGAAGCGCGGGGAAGCCGCACAAAAGACGTCCAAACGCTACCGATGTGGAAAGATCAATTCGGTGCTCGCACGGAACATTCAAGATGACCGAGAAGAGGGAAACAAATACCTTCTCCCAAAGGGGGGTAAATTGGGTGGCCTCTTGTGCGTGCCCACAGAAAACTGGACGGCGATCTTTCTGGACCCTTAACCATCCCAGACGCGCCCAGCCCACGCGGCCTCCGCCCTTAGTCCCCGGAGTCCGGGAAGGGCGGGGAGGGGAAGCAGGGCGCGAAGTCTGCCGCCAGGGCCGGAGGCGCACCGCGCTCTGCCCCGCGGGGCCGCTGCCGCCGGGTGGCCCGGCCTTCATTCAGCTGGAAGGCGCCGCCGCTCCAGGGCACCTGGGAGGCGGTTCGGTGCCGGGCGGGAGCCGCGGCTCTGCGGCCATCCAGCCGGGGAGGGGAGGGGCCGCGCGGCGCGCCGAGGGTGCCCGGCCTTCCCTCCGTCCGCTCCCAGCAGGCGCAGCCCCGCGACAGGGCCCAGAGGCTGGCCGGGTCTACCGCAGAGCTGGGCCCTCCGGCTTCGGAGCTGCCCCGCTGCACCCGCGCCAGCCCCCGGGTGACAGAGCCCGCACGCAGCTTTCCCGCCGGGGTCTCCCCTCCCGCCGGCCCGCGGGCTCGTAGCACACGCCCGCGCGCGCGCGCACACACACACACACACACACACACACGCCCAGACGCGCACATATGTGCCCCGCGGCGCCCTCTTTCCCTCCCGCAGGCCCCCGCGCCTGCTCGCCCAGAGCGGTGCTCCCGGGGTTCCGCGGCGGGGCGGCCTCGGCAGCCCCTCCCCGGGGGAGGGCGGCGGGCCGCGCGCGGAGCGGGGAGCGGGGAGGGGCCGGCGGCGGGGGGCGTGGCCGGCTGCCCCCGCCCCTCGAGTGAGTGACTGGGCGAGGAGGGCCCCTCCCTCCCTCCGCCCCTCCCCGGCGGTCCCCTCCCCGGCGGTCCCCTCCCTCGCTCGCTCCCAGCCCGCTCCCGCTCGCTCCCTGCCCACTCCCGGGGGGACGTTCCGCGACGCGGCCCCGCGGCCGCCGCTTCTTTTTACACTTTAGTTGGGAGCTGCGCGCCGCGCTCAGTTACTGGAGAGCTGGCCGCGCGCCGTCGCCTCCCGCACGCACGCACGCCGGCCGGGCTCCGGGGTTCTCGGCGTCTACTCGGAGCGGCGGGGAGGAGGGGGACACCCGGACTCACTGTGGGGAGGCGAAGGAAGAGGAGAGGAGGGAGGAAGAGAAAAGGCGAGGACGAAAGGGGCGGGGGGCGGGAGGCTTGCCACCTTCAGCCCCCCCGCGAGCGCCCAAGGTAAGCGTGGCCCCCGCCGGCCTCGGGCGGGGGGTGCGGGCGGCGCGGCCCGCGGCGCGGCTCCCCGGCGAGCCCGGGTGGGCTGGGAGGGAGGCCTGCGGGGAGTCTGCCGCGCGGAAGGGATGGGAGCCGCGGTGGTGGCGCTGCCGGCGCGCGGCCCGGCCCGGGGCTGCTGCTGCTGCTAGTGCGGGGACGGAAGCTGGGGTGGGGGCGTCTGCTCGCCGGGGCGGAGGGGCTGGGATGCGGTTGGGGCTGCTGACGACTTTCGTCACATTGAGGCCTGGGTGGCTGGTGTGAGACACCCCTCCCTTCCCACCCCCACCCCCCCGCCGCCCTCAGCCTGCCTGCTCCTCTCGAGCTGTGCATGTAGCCACCGTACTTTGCAAGCCAGATCTAGAAGGAAACAACAAAATTCAGAATCCTGTGTTAGGTCTCCGAGTCCCTTCTCCCGCTCCGACTGATTGATGTGTTTGGGTGGGTGCTGGGATCCCCGGGATTTCCGAAGTTTTGACCTTTTGGGGTGGCTGGTCTCGGTGCATCTGTCTGCTCACCTCGGCGTGTTTATTATTCGTGCCCATGCGAGGCAGCACAGGGTGCTTGGGTATTGTACACGGAGAAGATCTCACTCCCCTCTGCAGGCAGTTCGCGAAGTGCGGCCGCCAGGGCTGCCTTTGCCCTGCTGCTGATGTCCTTCCCCGATCATCCACCCTGCCTCCTCCCTCCACGGAGGGATCCCCCCCTCCCTTAGTGTTTGTGTGAGAGAAGTCCCTGGGCTTAAGGGCTCTCATCTCCCATTCATTCCTCTTCTAAAGCTCTGAATTGGCTCAGGCACGAGGGTCACATTTGAGGAGGCTTTCTTTTGCTCCAGGAGTTTACATGGTCAAAGATAAAAAATACATACCCCAAAAACATGCCTTAATCGTGAGTGATGACAAATACAGTTGGGGATGGAAGTGATTTGTTTCAGGGGGAAACCTACCTCCCTATGAGGTATCTTCCATCGCATGTGGGTTAGGAAATTTGTTTTAAAATAGATGGTGCTTATGTTGTGTGTGGCTGGAAGAGAGCCATGATAAGTTCAGCTATTGGAGTAACTCTGAAAGTGATACACCCTGATCGTCCAGAACCTTGGTTGGACACACACATGCTCTGACTCAGATGTTGGGAGGGGGGCTGACGCACCACAGATTGCATGAAACACTTTTTTTTTTTTTTTTAAGGAAACAGTATGGACTGTTTGGGGAAGTGGCAGGTTCATTACGCAGAGAGATGTTATGAAAACCTCTCTATTCAAGGGGGTAGACTCACCTTTCACCTAATAATAACCTTTTAGTTTAGTAGAGTTGGAATGTACCAAGGTAGAAGAAAATCATGGGTAGTGTGGGTCTGGGCTATTTAGCTCTCGTGGGGGTGGGGGTGGGGGTGGGGGGAAGATGATGTTTTTGAAGGGTTTTTCAGTCCAAGATACTCAGTTTGGGGGGTCCCCCCCTTTTTCATACTTCTAGAGCCCGAGTGTAGGACCAATAGAACATGTTGTGTGTTGGCTCTCTGGAAATACAGTTGAATAGACATGGAAATTAATTTAGACACGATCAGCTATTTTTGTTTTACCCCTTGTGAAGTGGGAAGTGTTGGTGATAGGACATCTGAGTGTATTTAACTGCATTAAACCATTACTGGGACCAACACTTATTTGCTGATCACAAAATGCAGCATTGAAATGTCACCTCCCCTCAGGTTTCCAGCTAGGCAAACAGGGTTCAGAGAACAGTTCTGGAGGGCCACTGGGCAAAGCAGCAAAACCCAGCAAACTTAGCTCTTGGATGAGCCAATGCCCTAGGAGGAGTGGAGGTCCTGTGGTCAGGCTTACCTCCCTTGGATCATAGGTCCCCAGAAAAATGGCCTTGGTTGGTGTGGAGGTTTTTTATCCAACGTTAAAAGTTCATCCTGGAAGAACCCTGAGGTTCTAGCCTCCCTCTGCAGCACTGACTCATTTTAACTCTTTGGAGAGAACTGATCATTTTGTTTTCTTGGCTAGTAATTTATCTGTCACCCCTTTCTCCCTCTCTCATTTTGTCATCTCACATGGATTTCTGGGAATTAATAGGCCACTGTTTGAAGTGGTTGGAGCTTCTTGAAGAATCCTAGGGTGCAAATCAAGAGCTTGGTCGTTAATTGGTGCTACTTGCCGTGCCTGATTAAAAATCCTACCAAGGAGGAAGGTGGTTTGCCCGATTATGAGTATCTTTCCAGGCAGATGGTGCCTCAGCATTGTGCGGAATTGTCCATCAGGCGAGCCTTGACTGTTACATTTCTAGTGGCTTGCTCCAGGCTCTTCCCGGCCAGCCCCCTTTCTACTGGCTGTTTTCTCTCACAGAGCGAGACAGCCCAGATTGAGAGAGGGAGTGTCATGGCACCTCCCATGAGGTCAGGAGAGGCAGGAGAGGGCAGGGACTCCATCACGTCGGGGTGGTGGGGGGATCCTAAGTGTGATAAGTAGCCCCAGCTTCCCTTGAACTTATCAGTACCACTTGGTGCTACCTGAGGCACACACAAGTGCATTTTGGGCCATTTTATGATCCTCCTTTGGAATGTCAGAAGTCCCATAGCATGGGAGAAGTAAATGTGGTGATTAATTAAGTTCTTGTTAAAACATGAAAAGCAGATTGCAATAGGCTAGTATAACATATTGCTTAGACCATGGAGAAGCAGGGATAGGGCCTGTCTGCAAGGGGAATTGCAACATTGAAACTATTTTAGAAATTGGTGACAGTTGTGACTTTAAGAGCTCATAATTCAAGGGCTTATCTAAAGTGGCATGCAAATTACACATATACATATTTTTAAAGTAGGCAATTATTTAGCTTGCCTATCTCAGTTCTGAAGTTTAATTTTACAAGTTACAGTTGCAACAAGAAACAACTTGACATGCTGTGGTTATGCAATCATGACAAGAGTGGTTGAATATAAGCTGGGCTAGGATGAACACAGAAATGAACACTCAACAGCGTCCTCCATCAGCAGGCATTAAGAAGTTCCTTGACTTTTTTTATTTTTTTGCAATAAAATGTGTTCCTAGAAAATGTATTTCCTGGGTTGTAGGCCAGGAACAGAATGTAAAGACTGCCTTCTGTCTCCACTTGTGGAAAGGAGAGTTAGCTCCCCTCCGATCTACAATAGAAACTGAGAAGATGAATTGGCCAGGCGACTAGAAGGCAAGCGGTTTGGGTCATTTTTGCAAGCCCTGCAGTTGCCCACACACTACCTTGTACTTTGAAGTTACTCAGTGAGTGATTGGATTGAATTGAATTAACCTAATTAGTTAAGGTCTGTAATGTGTCAGAAAAATACTCCTTGGAAATACATTAGCTATGGACTTCCATTTCAGTAATTCAGTACGATAGCTTATTAAGAGCTCCATATTCTGCCTGGGATAGGGTTGTTTGTTTGTTTTTAAAGACTTTATTTATTTATTTGACACAGAGAGAGAGAGAGATCACAAGTAGGCAGAGAGGAGGCAGAGAGAGAGGGGGAAACAGGCTCCCTGCTGAGTAGGGAGCCTGATGCGGGACTTCATCCCAGGAGCCTGAGATCATGACCTGAGCCGAAGGCAGAGGCTTAACCCAATGAGCCACCCAGGCACGAGTGTTGGATAGCGTTTTTCATTGTTGAAGAATACTGGACAGTCAAGTAAACATACGAGGCATAATGTCCCCTGAAATTACTGGAATTTCTACCTGGGGGGATCTTGATTGGGATTATATGTAATATCCATCTTTTTTTTTTTTTTAAAGATTTAATTTATTTATTTGAGAGAGAGGCAGTGAGAGAGAGCATGAGCGAGGAGAAGGTCAGAGGGAGAAGCGGACTCCCCACGGAGCTGGGAGCCCGATGCGGGACACGATCCCGGGACTCCGGGATCATGACCTGAGCCCAAGGCAGTCGTCCAACCTACTGAGCCACCCAGGCGTCCCTGTAATATCCATCTTTGACAAATATTTCTTCACTCATGAGTGTTGACTTATGACTTTGGTCTTTATCTTTTTAGTCCAAGGGATTCCGTGAGTAACGATTCCTCATATGGATACGTTGGATCCTCATATGGATATGGTGCGTTATGGTTTCCAGAGAACTCACATGGGCCTTGTCTTACTGAACTTTGTGCCGCAGCCCTAGCACTCGGGTGTCCTATGCTGGAATCCCAGAATGTGTCTGGATCAAGGAGTCAGAGAGAGGGGTCTGGGAAGGTTCAGGTAGCCCCAGCTCTTGGCTTATTAGGTTTTCCCAAGGGAGGCAGTAATCGATAGTCACTGCTACTCCCTCTAAAATCACTTAATGTGAGGAGAGTGGAGACCTGTCTCATGCAGGGAGCTCACCAGGCTCCTGGCGTTCCCGTGGCTCTGCCCCTATATCTGTTCTCTCTCTCCAGGCTGTTTTTAACTTTATTCCTTTGCCAAATGTCCCTTTAACCCTCTAGTCCTTCCTGGAGCTTTAACATGGCTTTCTGTCCCACAGATTTTCACCCATAGAGCCTCCTGCTTCTTATCCCTCCACCTTACTTTTGCCGGCAGGACTTGGGTATTTTATGTTTGAATAATCTTGTCCAATATTTAACCTCCTCTCCAGGCCCACTTTCTCCTTGACTCCGCCCACCTCCCTGTTCAAGTATAGCCTTCTGGCTTCTGGGGAACTTCTTCCTTCTGCCCTCAGGGCCCCTATACCTTGTCCTACTTTGCCCCACACCTCCCTTATTACTCCCACCTACTTCTCTCCATCAAACCTTTAGATCTCTAGCACGTACCTGCCTGTGCCTGTTTCACAGACTCATGCTACTTAGCAGATACATTTATAGCATTCATGAGTTCAAGTCCACATGCTTTGTGCCTTGTAGAAAAATGGGATTAGAGCATCCGTGAGTTTAGGGATCTTCTTTGCCTTTGTTTTCACTTTTCACTTCCCTGTATTTTGGATTTTTTAAGGTTCTTAAGCCATGTAGTAAT